TTTAACAGCACCTATTTTTCTAAAACATTAAACACAGCTAAATTAACACTGTCATTTCAGAGCAATATTTGGCTTCGATGAAAATATGACATTTTCAAGTCCATTGCTTTGAAAGTTGTGGTGTAGTTTAGCGGGAGTTAACTATGGAAAAATAAGGGGAGTTAATTTGAAAGATTTTGCTGTCAGCTTTGTGAATTGTCCGGTATTATGGACAGAAGAAGAGACGGTAAGAAAGATATCCCAAGTTTTCTGTTTGGAAAGGTAAGCTGTGGGAGGGAGACTTGAAGAGGCTGCGCAGAGATCGAGACAGCCAGCGATAGTGGGCATTAGAGGTGATGTGCAAAGTTATTCACGTCAATTGAAAGGTTAGGAAAACTGAAGACCTTTTTAAAAAGTGTGAAACTTGCAAACATTCGGATGGACGTGGTTGTGCTCTTGCAAGGAATGCAAAAGATTAGCGCACAATCCAAAGGATAAATGACAAGTTGGGCCTTCAGTGCAAGATTGGAGTGCACAAGTAAAAGAAGTCTTGCTCCAAGGCTTTGGTGAGACCATGCCTGGAATATTGTATTGTGCAGTTTTTCCATCCATATTTAATGATGTACTGGCATTGGAGCTGGAATAGCGCAAGTTCACTGAATTGGTTCCTGTCGTGAAAGAGTTAATAAAGAGGGTCTATATTCTCTGGAGTTGTGAAGAAGGAAGGGCGATTGTATCTGGATGTGCAATGTTCTGAGGTGACTCAATGGGTAGACCAAGGCTTGCCAAAGTAGGGGTCAGCACCCCAAGTGGGGCCGAGAGCTGAAATTTTGCATGATGTGGAGGTGTTGGTGTTGGACTGGGATGGACAAGGTCAGAAAAGTCCGGTGTTGGATTATAACCCGATGTCGTGTGATTTCTGATGTTTTGCAAAGCTTGAAGGCTGCGTTTTACCATGGAGCTTGCTTCAATAAGACCCACTGTCTTCCCCCGGGCCTCAAACTCCACCCCTACAGATTTCACTGAGGGGTTGCAACAATTCTCGGACTTTAAAATGGGCCTGCAGTCGGGTTAGAGTTTTGGGTAAGACAAGGGCCGATTGAGAGATTGTGACGCAGTGTTTCCACTGGTCTAAAACCGTCACAGGATAAGGGACCAATCCCTTAGGACTGAGATGAGGAGAAATCACTTTGCTCAAAGGGTTGTGAATCTTCAGAAGTCTGTATTCACCCTGGCCCCTACCAAAAGGATTATGGATGCTACTTCATTGAATACACTTAATGCTGGAATAGACAGATCTTGTTCTTGGGGCATCGAGAGGAAGACAGGGAAATTGGAATTAAAGCCGGAAATCGGTCATAATCATATTGAATGGTAGGACAGGTTTGATGGACCCAATGATCTAATGTTGCTGTGTCTTTCTTTTTTCTTTTTCCTTTTTAATTGCATTCATGCAAACAGTTTACAGGTTTACCTTGCAATTTAAACATGGACCTACCATATGAGTTGGGCTTCTTCATAATTCTTCAGGTAGTTATGGCTCAAACTGAACGATAATAATTTTGTTTTGGGATGAACATACTGTTGTACTAGAAGGGTCTTCTGAGTTGCTGTGGAGCCTGCGTGAGAATGATGATAGTGGTAGCATTCTCAAATAACATTTGTCACCGAGCTGTTAATAAGACATGGCCACCAACAACTTGACTGTCTGTCAGTTCAGTTCCAGAAACAAAGCCGCCCGTTTTGTTTTGTGGATTGAGTTTATTAACCACACAGTCTTACAGCTCCTCGCCCCTGGCAGACCCACCCCTTTCCACTTTACCAGCACCCTGTTAATTAATTCATCAACTAACTCCAATCACAAGCTGAGTTACTTGCAATGTTAACATTCAGGAGTGAGGTTGGAGAGGCAGAGAGACCTCTGGAGGGGATTCAAGAACTTATGGCCCAGTGCTGAAGACGCACTCACTGGTGATAAAGCTGCCCACTTCACTGGCACCGCTGTGTGGAGCAGAGAATGTCAGGGATGTGCGAAAAGCTCAAAGTGGAAGAGTAGGCAAAATCTCTGAGGAGTATGGAGCTGGGGTGGGTTACAAGTCATGGGGAAGGACTTGGTGATCGGCGTTGGAAATTAGACAATGTGAATTCTTTTTGTTTTTTTTCTTATTCATTAATGAGACCTGGATGTCTCTGGCAGTGCAAGCATTTATTGTACATCCCTAGAAGTCTTGGAGAAGGTGATGGTGAGCTACCTTCTTGAACCGCTGCAGTAAATGTGCTGTAGGTAGACTCACAATGCCCTTGGGGAAGGAGTTCCCAGATTTTGACCCAAAGACCGTGAAGGAGCAGTGATTGGATTTCCAAGTCAGGATGGTGAGTGTCTTGGAAGGGAACTTGCAGATGGTGGTGTTCCCACGTACCTGCTGCCCTTGTCCTTCCAGCTGAAAGTAGTTTTGGGTTTGGAAGGTGCTGATGAGGAATCGTTGTTGAACTTCTGCAGTGCGTCTTGTTGATGGCACACACTGCTGCTACTGAGTGTCGCTGGTAGAAAGGGTGGATATGGTGCCAGTCAAGCGGGCTACTTTATCCTGGATGGATTTGAGCTGCTTGAGTGTTGTTGGGGCTGCACTCATCCAGGCAAGTGGGGAGTATTCCATCACACTCCTGACTTGTGCCTTGTAAATGATGGACAGGTTTTGGGGAGTCAGGAGGTGAGGTGACTTGCTAGCTGCAGGATTCCACTGATCTGCTCTTGTAGCTACTATTTACATGGCAAGTCTAGTTCAGTCTCTGGTCATTGTTAACCCCTAAGAGTGTTGGTAGCTGGCATGTGAAGACTGACAAATCTTATTGGGCCATCTATTACTGGCAGACCAGGTGTGTCCAAGAGTTTGTGCCTGTCTCGTCTTATAGTTGTAGTTAAAGGTTTCTGTGGATAATGAAGCTATGAAAAAAAGACTATTCTGGTGCTTGTGTGTAAGTTCCTCAAAAAAAAAGTCAACACTTCCAAAATTTAAGAAAACTGCCCGAGCAAATCCACATTAAATTTGAAAGCGTAAAGTAACTTTGACCAATGGGTATGATGATTAGGTGTAAATACTATGTATAAATCTCAGAGATTGTTCACTTGGAAGAATTTAGTAACTTTTGTTATGTTTCCCAGCAGATCTACAATATACCTTTTTAAGGGATATACTTATGATATCATGATATGATGATGAACTCCTGTAACCTGATGGTAGAAAGCTCTCAGTCTCCGTCATACCAAGCTCTGCCCTCTTGAAGCATGACATGCTCAGGGAAGTGTTCTACAGTATGATGGAATTGCTTAGCTTGAGCCCTGGCATTCAAGTATTTAAATTGTTATTTACTCATAGAATCACACAGTAGAGGCCCTTCAGCCCATCAGGTCTGTATCGCTAAAATTATACTACTGCTTACAGTGGAACCACTTTCCCATACCAGTCCCACTTTCCCATAGCCTTGGATTTTATGACACTTCAAGTGCTCGACCAAGAACTTTTTAAAGGCTTTGAGGTTTACTGCCTCAGCTACCCTCCCAGGCAATGCATTCCAGAACCCCACCCTCTGAGTGTAAAAGATTTTCCCTCTAAACCTGCCTTTCTATTTCACTCCTTTTGAGTTTACCTACGGTCTCGACTCGCTGTTCGGGTAATATGAGACTCTAGCCATTTCGATGTTTTGGGACCGCACCCTGTCGCATCTTCTCGTTGGTAGAGGTCGTGGATTTTAAAGGTGCCATGGAACGTTTAGATTTAAACAGCCTACTTGGACATGTTGTGATGGTTCGGGGACAGAGGGGTCTTGAACTTGGACCTTCTGGCCCAGAGTTAGGGACATTACCACTGTGCTACTAACAACCAATCGAGAAAGGAATCGTGACAAATTATCATTCACTTCATTAGACCTTTTTTTATCATATTAGTATCTTGCAATCCATTTCACAGTTTTGTAAGAGGCCAAGCATTGGAGGTCAGTGAGATTGAAAGTTTCTAATAGATCATAGTATCATAGAATTCCTACAGTGTGGAAGCAGGCCATTTGGCCCTTTGAGTCTAGACTGACCACTCCTCTCTGCCTTATCCCTGTAACCCTGCATTTCTCATGGCTAACCCACCTAGTCTGCACATCTCTAGTTACTATGGGCCAACTTAGCATGGCCAATCCACCTAACCTGCACATCTTTTGGACTGTGGGAGGAAACCGGAGCACCCGGAGGAAACTCGCGCAACAGGGAGAATGTGCGAACTGCACGTGGACAGTTGCCTGAGAGTAGAATCAAACCCAGATCCCTCGTGTTGAGAGGCAGCAGTTCTAATCACTGAGACACCGTGATACTAAATATTTTTAAGCATAGCTCAGAGGTGGGGGAGGTGGGTAATGAAATCTATCCTTGAGATTTCAGTTTCATGATCTCGCATGTATCCCTCTGAGCTGAGAGCTCCTAGTTGTCGATCCCCTTCACAATTAGCATATTATCCTGTTCCCAGCGAGGTTCTTTCTGTAGTGTTGCTGAAAGATTCTGTACTGCCTGATGGCCATCCATCACAGATTATGGAGCAAACTCATTAAAGTTGACAGCTGCAAATGGCTTTATTTTTAAACTGAGCCACTTCAGTATTTTGACTTCTAAAACGTCCACTTGTGTGGCGTCATTGGTGAATGTGAATAGCCCAGAAAGCAGCATTATCGGTGTAGACCGTTGGTGGTAAATGGTCAGCTTAGTTGTGTTCAGTTCGTATCGTTTTAGCTGTTAGCCGATTATTGAATGGCAGTGCATGTGCTGTACGTTGTACAGGCTGGGTAGATTAGCCATGAGAAGTGTGGGGTTACAGGGATAGGGTAGAGAGGAGTAGGTCGGGGTAGGATGCTCTTTGGAGGGTCAGTCTGGACTCGAAGGGCCAAATGGCCTGCTTCCACACTGTAGGAATTCTATGATCTGTGAGAGACTTTCATAATCTCACTGACCTCCAATGCTTGGCCTCTTACAGAACTGCGAAATGGATTGCAAGATGTCTAAAGAGATGTGATGTATTGATGACTGGCAGCCCAGAAGACCAGATAATTGACTGGAGGATGTGAATGCAAATCCTACTGTGGCCTTTAGTGGAATTTATATTACAATTTAAAATATGTGGAATTGAAAACCAGTCTTGGTAAGACAAACCAGGGCAGGACTTACACAGATATTGCTGGAACTGTAGGGGGAGTGTTGTCGAACAGAGGGACCTAGGAGTTCAGGTACATAGTGGCGTCACAGGTAGGCAGGATGGTGAAGAAGGCATTTGGCATGCTTGCCTTCATTGGTCTCAGCATTGACGCTAGGAGCTGGGACACCATGTTATGGCTGTACAGGATGTCAGTGAAGCCACTTTTGGTACCCAGTGTACAGTTTTGGTTGCCCTGCTATAGGAAGGATGTTATTAAACTGGAAAAAGTGCAGAAAAATTTACAAGGATGTTACTGGGACTGGTGGGTTTGAGCGAGGGCTGGCACTTTTTAATCCCTGGAGCATAGGAGGTTGAGGGGTGACTTTTTTTAGAGGCTTATTTAAAAACAAAAATCATGAGGGGCATAGATAAGGTGAATAGCCAAGGTCTTTGCCATAGGGTGGGAGATTCAAATCTAGCGGGTATAGGTTGAGTAGATGGTTCTGTTCTTAACTCTGGATTGGACACTGGTTAGTAAAATAGTTTTTTCATTCTTCATCACTAAATCACTTCCATTGGATCTGTGCAAATTTCAATGGCAAAACACACACAAAAATGTGGTCATGGCGAGTTTATTGTGATGAAGAAATTTGTGGTTTGGGTTGGAAGGAATAGTATGTACAGACTGGATGGCTGTAGCAGGAAAGAACAATACTGGAGTGTTTTTGTTAAATTCTATGGTCAGTACTCTCCAGAGTTTAGAAAATTGTGAGGCGAACTAACTGACGTAATGTAAGATGCTAATGGGATTTGACAGTAGAAGGAGAGAGGATGTTTCCCCTTGTGGGGTCATCTAGAACGAGAGGCCACAGTTTTCAGATAAAGGGTGGCGGATTTGAAACAGAATTACTTCTCTCAATGGGTTGTGAATCTGTGGAATTCATTGCCCTAGACTGAAGTGGACACTGGGACATTGAATAAATTTGAGAAGGAGACAGATGGATCTTTAATTAGTAACAGGTTGAATGGTTATGGAGAGCAGGCAGGAGGGTGGAGTTGAGACTGAGATGAGATCAGCCATGATGGTGTAACATGGTGGAGCACGATCGAGGGGCTAAATGGCCTACTCTTGCTCCAAGTTCTTATCTTTGGTTGAATAAAACTCCACATTTGAACATTGTGCCTTTTTTTTTTGTCATTCCGTCCCACAGTCACGCCCCCTGGTGTCCAGCGTGTAAGCAAATCCAGGCCGATTGGGAGGACCTCGGCAAGTCTGGCAGGGAGCTTGGCATCCACGTGGGAAAGATAGATGTCACTCGGGAGCCAGGTACGTGCAGGGTCAGCCGTGTGTTGACTCGCTCTGGGCCAGGTTTGTGAACTGATGCATTCTGGAGGGGTCATAGGTCATGCTCACGGACTCGGAGCCTCCGAGGCCGACAGCAATGGTGGGTGTGGGGAGGACCCTCGGATGTTCCAGTCGTGGGTTCAAGGTCCAGTCCGATTTATGTAACCCCAGCTACGAGGCGGAAACCGTGGCGACATGTTCCAGGTAGTTTCACGGAATTGTGAGGCCATTCGGCCCACCGGCTCTTCAACCGAGCGTCAATTACCCTATCCTCGTGCGCCATTTCTATCTGAGCAAACGTCCAGTCGAATTGCACAATTGAACCCGCCTCCTCCATGTTTCCAGGCAGTGCATCCCACACCCCCAACAGCTCGCTGGGTGAGACCGTTTTCTCTCACATCACCCTTTTTTGCTGTTTTTACGCATCACTTTTAAATCTCTGCCATCTCGTTCTTGCTCCTTGTACAAGCAGGAAAGGTTTCTCCCGACATACTCTGTCCAACCCGCTCGCGATTTTGAAGACTTCCTTCATGATCGCCTCTCTGCACCCTCCCTCAGGGAGAACAGTCCCAACTTCTTCAATCGATCATTTCTTGTCAGTGGTACCTTTCCAACACATCACTTCTGCTCTCTGTCTCTCCAGTGCATTCGCCTCTTTCCTATAAGGTGGCACGCGCAGTACTCCAGCTGATGTCTGTCAGAACTGTTAAAGTACAGGAGGATATTCAGCCCATCATTCCTGTACTGGTTCTGTTACCTGTTCTATTGCCAATACATTTGAAGTCGTTTGGAGTCTGGCACAGTTTCCTTGTTAGTAATAGTTAATATGTCTGAGCGTTCATGTTACCTGTCCACAGTTAGTTATGTAATAAACCACACCTTGTTGAGAAATAGAACCTTTTCTGCTGAGGCTAATCTGTGGTCCATCCTCCACTGACTACTGAACAACCCTTGGTCCAGCGCAGGGATTCTACACTGACTGGGGCGGCACAGTGGCTCAGTGGTTAGCACCGCTGCCTCACCGCGCCAGGGACCCGGGTTCGATTCTGCCCTCGGGCGACTGTGCCAACTCCGCGAGGACATTCTCCTCATGTCTGCGCGGGTTTCCTCCGGGTGCTCTGGTTTCCTCCCACCCTCCAAAGATGTGTGGGTTAGGGTGGATTGGCCGTGCTAAATTGCCCCGTAGTGTCCAGGGAAGTGCAGGTTAAATGGATTAGCCGTGGGAAATGCAGGGTTACAGGGATAGGGTAGGGTATGGGTCTGGGTGGGACGCACTTTGGAGGGCCGGGACAGACTTGATGGGCCGGATGGCCTCTTACTGCAATATAGGGATTCTGTGATTCAACGACAAGGCACAATTTGTCCGGGTCAATGGCAAGCCTCATTCTTTAGATGAGGACACCTCCTCGCTATTCTAAGAAGGGGCCAGCTCTGAGGTTCTTCATCAATTGGCAAGTGCTCTTTATCTGCCAACAGATGTGGCTTAGCAGAAGGGATGCTGTGTCACGATCGCTGAGCCTGATAAATGGTTAGCTGTCTTGCTCCTGCATTTGCATTTGGACAACTCCATTCCTCCGTCCGCTCGCCACCAACTTCCAGGGTGGGGTCGCGCCAGTTATCAAGCATTAAAATGGAGTTACTGCTCCCGCGCACCCCCCGCCCGCCAACCCCTGCTGTATTTAGGAACTGCGGATGCTGGAGATCGGAAACAAGAGCAGAAATTTCCAGAGAAGCGCATCAGGTCTGGCAGCGCCTGTGGAGAGAAAAGCAAGAGTTAACAGTTTTGTGTCCAGTGACCCATCAGAGCTGCTTTCTCTCCTGAGATGCTGCCAGCCCTGCTGAGTTTCTCCAGCAATTTCTGTTTTTGTTTGTGAGAAGCTCTGAGCTAAAATTGTTTTTGGACGGGCCGAGGAGTCGGTGGAACTTAGCTGTCAATTTGTTTGTGGCCATGTTCATGGTTTAACGTGCTCATGCTCGTTGGAGGTGGGGGGGCATTTTATAGAGGCGTTGGAGTTCTTGCCCAATGATGATGCCCTCTTTGGGGGTATTAATGCTGCCAGTGTTGGGTCTTGATCGGGTCAGAAATCTACCTGCTGACCAATCGGAGCAGGGCAACTCTGCTTGCAAGCGCCCCTGCTCAGGCAGCGGCTGCTGTGGGAATGACACCCGCCAACTTCCCAGGAGAACAGAGATATAGGAGCAGAATTAGGCCATTCAACCCATTGAGTCTGCTGCGCCATTCATTCGTATATTTCTCGGCCGAATTCTCCTGCCTGTTCCCCTTAAACTTTGATCCGCTAAGTCCCCACATGTAAGTGATATTGGGAGGGTTTTGGCGGAGGAGGGGGATGAGGTTTGTATGGGAAGGAGAAGGGGGGAAAGTGGGGTTGGTAATTGAAAGGGGATGACCTCTTCCTGATGCCAGCTTCCTCAAAGAGTCGTGAATCTGCGGCATTCGCTACCCCAGAGTGTGCTGGGTAAATTAGACTTTTAATTAATAACGGTAAAGTCACTCTACTCTTAACAGACCATAGCCTTGCGCTCATTGGAGAGAGACGACTGAAGGGGGTGTGGGTTCAACCTGAGGGTCGCCACGCCTCGGGTGAGGGGAGAGGCTGAGAAGGTGAATCCTTTATAATAACATGGGATTGTGGGGAAATTGAACCCATGCTGTTGGTGTCTCTGTATCACAAAGCAGCCATCCAACCTGTGGAGCTAACTGACCCCTTATTTAGTTAGTAACGGGTTAAAAGGTCACGGGGAACGGCCAGGAAAGTGGAGTTGAGGCCGAGATGAGATCGCTGTGATCAAATTGAAATGGGAGGGCAGGTTTGAGAGGCTGAATGGCCTACTTCTGCACCTAGCTCTTTTATATGAACCATTATTGCTTGGTACTATATGCAGAGGAAGCCAGTGTTCAAAGCTGGGAAATATGTTACTGAACACTGCAGTTTAGTATTTGACTTCTGTTCAAAGATTGACCCAGGTTTCAGAAATGCCCACTTGTGACCTGTGGAGGGCACTCCATAAAGCAGATGCCATCTTCTGCACTGTAGTGTGGTATGTTTGGAGGTGGGAGGGCATTGAATCGGGTGGAAGGGTGCTATGTGAATGCCATCCTGCTTCAGCCAAAATTGAGGGCCTCCTGCCAATTAAGGCCCTAAGTGGACAATTCATGCCACCATGGTCAACATGAACCCAATAGAAGCTGGACCTGTCTTCACTGAAGGAGCACCGCAAGCAAGCAGACCCCTGTGGACTGCTGGGGGTGGGGGGGGAGAGGGGTAGAAAGAGATGGTGGTGGTCCTTCTTTCACAAGGCACGAGTGCCCGATTTGAGGATGCTGGCATTGGGAAGACGCCATCCTTTGCAATGCATCACGCCACATGCCCCAGCCCTCATCTCTTTCCCATTACTACACCCTTTGCTATTTAAAAATCTGTCTATCTCCTTAAATTTATTCACCGTGCTGTGGCGTCTCGAACTCCACAGACTCACTACCCTTTTGAGAGAAGTAATTCCTCCTCATCTGTGTTTTAAATCTGCTACCCCTGACCTGAAAGTATGACCGCTCATTCCAGATTTCCCCATATGAGGAAACGTTCACTCTACATCTGCTTTGTCAATCCCCTTTAGCATCTTATAGACCTCAATAAGATCCCCTCTCATTCTTCAAAACTTGTCTGAGAATAGGCCGGACCTGCAGAATCTCTCCTCGTTTGAAAAGCCTATCGTATCTGCAAATAACATAGTTAACCTTTCTCTGAACTGCCTCACGTGCAATTACATCCTTCCTCAAGGAAGGAGACCAAAACTTTGTACAGTATTCCAGGGACTGTCTCACCAGTGGTTGTACAGTTGCGGCAACACTTCCCTACTTTCAGACCCAATTTCTTTAGCAATATAACTCCATTTGCCCTCCTTATTACCTACCATAACTGTATATTAGCTTTCATTGATTCATGCACAAGGACACCCAGATCCCTCTGCACCAAAACATTTCCACAATGCCTTATTCGTCTGACCAAAATGGATAGCCATCGTGTGCCTTTTGAAGCCTTTGATGGTGTGCAGTGCGTGTATTTTCAATTCAGTTCCATTCCTTTCAAACACAGTGCGTGTGACTCTCGCAACCACTTCTGGTTGCCCAGTTAGAAGAAGGATGTAATTAAGCTGGAGAGGGTTCAGAAGACATTCTTGCTGGATATGGAAGGTGTTCTAGAGGAAGGCTGGGACTTTTTTCACTGGAGTGTATGAGGTTGTGAGATGACCTGATGGAGCTTTACAGAATCCTGAGAGGTACAGGTAGGGTTGGTGGTAGGCATCTCTTCCCTAGGGTGGGGGATTTCTAGACTAGAGGGCATATTTTTAAGGTGAGTGGAGAGAGACTTAAAAAAGACAATTGGAGCAAATTTTTGACAGAGGATGGTTCACATGTGGAATGACCTTCCAGAG